ACGACAAAGACAGAATTCTCAGGGCAGCCAGAGAGAAGAAGATGGTAACGTATAAGGGAAAACCCATTAGATTATCGTCGGGCTTCTCAGCACAAATCTTACAAGCCAGAAAGGAATGGAATCAAATATTTAAACTATTAAGTGAAAGGAACTACCAGCCTAGAATAATGTATCCAGCTAAGCTCTCCTTTAGATATGAAGGAGAAATTAAGACCTTTTCAGACATACAAAAATTGAGGGAATTCTCCACTATGAGGCCTACATTACAGGAAATACTGAAAGGGGTCAGCTCACCTAAAGAAAAATGACAAAAAAATATATAACTATGAGTAAGGCGACTAGCAGGCAGATAGAAGCAGAGGAGTGCAACCCTTATTAAGAGCAGGGCATTATAAGCTTAAACAATAAGAAGAGATTTGCATAGCAAGATAGTAATGAACGTTCAGCATACAGAGGGACAAACTGAAACAATAATGACAGAAAAAGAGACGATTCAAAGATCCAAATTCACAAAGGGGAATGGAGATATGACACATGCAGAAGAAAATAGACTAATACATATACACATACACACACACACACACACACACACACACACACACACACACACATAACTATCCTTTACATATTTGCAATGGTAATCACATGCCAAAGACTCAGAACTGAAGTATAGAACAAAAATCAAGAAGGACCAGAGGGAAAATCCATAAAACCCAAACGAACAAACAAACAAACAAACAAAAACACACAAGGACAAGGAAGCAATGGAAATACTGAACTACTACAAAGCAAAAGATAAAATGGCTATAGGAAAATCTCATATTTCAATAATCACCCTAAATATAAATGGACTGAACTCACCAATAAAAAGGCACAGAGTTGCAGATTGGATCAAAAAACAAAACTCATATGCTGCCTCCAGGAGATATATCTCAGCTCCAAAGACAAATATAGACTCAAAAAAAAGGGTGGAAAATGATATTTCAAGAAAATGCCATTCAGAGAAAAGCGGGAGTAGCGGAACTAAAGTGATATAGTGGTACTAATATCGTGTGAAATAGACTTCAAAATAGGAAAAGTAAAGAAAGATACTGAGGGACACTTCATAATGATAAAGGTGATCATACACCAGGAAGACATAACACTTATTAATATCTATGCTCCCAATCAGGGAGCCCCAAAATATGTAAAGCAATTACTAACAGAACTAAAGGGAGAAACAGACCAAAATACTATCGTAGTAGAAGACCTATATACTTCACTGTCGGATATGGACAGATCATCCAAACAGAAAATCCATAAGGAGGTAACATCCTTAAATGAGACAATAGACCAACTGGACATAATTGACATTTACAGAGCCTTCCATCCCCAAACAGCTGCTCTAGTGCACATGGAACATTCTTCTCTAGTGCACATGGAACATTCTCAAGAATTGACCACGTACTGGGACACAAGATAGCCACAACAAATATAAGAGGGTTGAAATCATACAAACCATATTCTCTGCTCATAACGCTTTGAAGCTGGAGATCAACTGTAAAAAGAAAGAGGGAAGAACCGCAAATACATGGAGGTTAAACAACATGCTGCTGAAGAAAAACTGGGTCAGAGAAGAAATAAGAGAGATCAAGATATACGTAGAAACCAATGATAATGATAGTACGACATATCAAAACTTTTGGGACATGGCA